TGACTGGTCTGTACTTCCCTAGATTCTCCTTTGTCTCCTTTTTAAAGACAGCCACTACATTTACCTTATTCCAATCATCCAGGACCTCCCCAAATCACCCCGAATTTTCAAAGATAGTGGCCAATGGCTCTGCAATCACATCAGCCAACTCTCTAAGCACCCTCAGATGCAATAGATCCAGCCCCATGGATTTGTGTATGTCCAGCTTTTCTAAACAGTTCTTAACCTGTTCGTTCTCCACTAGGACTGCCCACCTCCTTCCTATATTTTGCTGGCCCAGGAACAACAAATATCAGGTGCACTTGACTCAAGGCTTGGCTGATCCTGGCAAAGATTGGGAGCAAAGCTGAGCTTCAGGCTGTTTTTCATTGTCTAAGAAGCAGCTTAATGGTCTGATTCTGTGAGATGAAGGCTGAACATTGCTGGCACACATTGACATTAACTGAGGGTGAGGAGCACAGAGATAGAGAGCAATCACATCGACTTTTGAGACTGCAGCGTCTGTTTCTAGTTTCTTAATTAACTATAACCTTGCTGTGTAATGAGAGATAAGTGAGATGGCTCATATTTTGTACTAAGCCACACACAATCTTCTTGGGTCTCCAAACAGGGACAGGTTTTTCTAATAAGGCATTTTCTAGTGAGATTACTTAGTCCCTGTGCTAAATTCAACCCAGGAGAAACTTTGCTGAAATTAATGTGGTGGGTTTGACCCCTTGTGAATTGCCTTTTACAGAAGTACTAGAGGAAATGATGGGTAGGAAAGGGCAGAATTAACCAAAGGAGGAAGGGAATTTGAGAGATCATGAATGAGATGCTTTGGCACTAATTGGAAAGCTCTGAGCTCAGATAAGAAAAGGTTATGAGTGCACGAATTTTGTTCAGTTGCATCCTTTTTGTGTCTTTCATTTTCATCTGATTTGGCTTTGTTTCTTGCATTTTATTTGCTATGTGCAAGCTCTATGTTTATTTAGACAGAATTAAGTGGACCAGCTCTGTGTCAGTGTAGCTATCAATCAGAATAATCTAGAGAGCAGTATTTTAATACAAGGAAGACACTAAAACAGATTATTGATACAATGTTAATAAAAGGGTCACAATATGAAATCTTTACACTGGCAAAGCACCCAGTGAACCCTGGGGGATTTCTCTTAAACGCTTAGGAAAGCAGGGGTTAACTCAGTGATAATAAAACTAAGGATGCCAAAGGACTTGCCAAATATTATACGTATAATTCTCACAGCCCCGTTGTGAGCTAGGGTATGAAATACCCTGATTACAGACTGATAAACTGAGGTACAAGGCAGCCATGGGTATTGCTCAGGATCTCAAAGTGACTCTGTGGCAAAGGCAGAAATATAAAGCAGAGGTGAAATACTGGTCCCTATTGAAGTTAACAGCAAAATTCCCACTGGCATCAGTGGAACCAGGATTTCAGCTCAGGAATCCCAAATCTTACATTGCTGCTCTGATGACTATACCACACTTCCTCCTCCCATCTTAAATTGTGGAGCCTGAACAAACAAGGGGAAAAGAACTAGTTCTAACTACTGTGAGTGGCAAGAAGAGGACTAAATTCATCACTGGAGTAACTCCCTGATGTCCATCTGTGCAAAGCGGCATGGAGAACAAGACATTGAATCAATGAGAAGCAGCGGTCAAACAAGCTAATTTTATGTTGGGAATCAGTACAAAAGGTAGAGGCAATAAGACAGAAAAAATCAAATTGCCTCTGTATAAATCCAGGGTATGCACACATCTTGGTTACTTCATGCAAATCTGGTTGCATGAAAAGATCTAATAGGACTGAAGAAGGTTCAGAAAAGGGCAACCAAAATGTTTAGGGAATGGAACAACTTCTGTATGAGGAGAGATTAACAAAACTAGGACGTTTCAGCTTGGAAAAGAGAAGTCTAAGGGAGGACTGAATTCTGTGAAATCATAACTAGTGCAGAGAAAGTAAAGAAGGAAGTTAGTTACTCCTTTAACACAGGAACTAGAGATCATTCAATGAAATCAATAGGCAGCAGGTTTAAAACACACAAAATGAAGTATTCTTCACACAACACAGTGGAATTCTGCCAGAGGATGTTGTGAAGGCAAAGGCATTAACAGAATTAAAACAACAACAACAACAAACAGAAAAGTTAGCCAGGATGGGCAGGGATGGTGTCCCTACCCTCTGTTTGCCAGAAGCTAGGAATGAGTGACAGGGGACGGATTACTTGTTGACTACGTGTTCTGTTCATTCCCTCTGAGGTACCTGGGATTGACCACTGTCTGAAGACAGGATACTAGGCTAGATGGACCATTGATCTGATCTAGTATGGCTGTTCTTATGAGCAGGAGGAGATGGTGTGTAGGAAGGTAATAGCCAATTAAAAGGCTCCCTCTACATAAGGTTAATGCATCTGCATTTCCCAAACCTAATTGTACATGCACACCAAGTGCCCATCTCATGTCTTTCTGGTGTCTGCTACAGCAAATGGAGAGGTGATGGGATCTAGAGAGCTCTGCTTTCCTGGGGGTTGACAGAGAACCTAGTGGAACACCTGTTAATTACGTCGCACCACGCTGGCCAAAGGGGGAGTGAAGCTGGCGCGGGTTCGGATGGGCCTCACCTCCCCTTGGTTTGAGCTACCCTCACCACGCTGACCAAAGGGGGAGTGAAGCTGGCGCGGGCTCGGCTAGGCCTCACCTCCCCTTGGTTTGAGCTACACCCGGGGAGCACGGGAAGAAGGTGAGCCCAGGTGCCTGGCAGGGGCACGTGCCAGAGGAGGGAACGGGCCCCGCACTCCAGGCACACTGGGGTGGTGCGGTCGAACCGTCGGGGGCTGGGCAGGCCCCGAGGGTGAGCGGCCACTGGGGTACTGGGGGAGAGAGGGAGAGGAAGCAGCCCAGGGCAGAACCAGGATATGGTTGGTGGGCTGATGAGTTTCGGCCGGATGCCCCATCTGCCGGACTGGACCTTGACTGGTCCGAGTCCTTAGGGCCCTGGACTGGGGCCCATGAGTGAGGGCAGGCCCGGGCCCCCTCTTCCCTCTCCAACCCAGGACGAGGAGCGAGAACATCAACCGTGAAGGGTAAAGACTGCTGAGTTGTGGAACCCGGGCTTAAACTGTACTGTGGGTGAGGTGGTGGGAACGTTCCGATTGTTTTGGTGGGGTGGCAAGGGAGCCGATAACCCGACGAGACCGCCCCGGTGCGGTCACACACCCCTTTGCTGGTCCTAGCTGCAGACTATGCTGCTTGGCCAGCCTTCAGCTCCTTGCGTTGCTTATCTGACCCCTTTGGCTCTGGTCACTGCAGGTCTGCCTCTCACCACAGGGTCTGTGCTCTGTGGGCTGTGTGGGCTTCTGGCTCTGTCACTGAAGATATGCTCCTCACCACAGCTTGCTCACCTTGCTGCTCTTCTCAGCTCTCTCCCGCTTTGGCTCAGAGACCCAGCTCACACAGAGGACTGGACCTGGCCTCCTAATTCCCTCATTGGCCTGCCCAACCTGTCAATCAGGCTGACCTGGAGTGCTGGCCTCTTCCCATTGTCCCTGGGGATTGTCAGCATTGACATCAAACCAACAAAAAGCCATCCTCAGAAAAGCCTTCTTTGATTTCCTACTCTGAGTGCTGCTTCATTCTTGCAATCCTAGCTGGATTCATTTTCACTTTACAGATCATTGCTGCTGAGTTACATCTGAATTGGGACACGTTACTTAGCCCCTGGTTTTCCCTGTCAATCACATTACCAAGTAAATACTACAGCCGTGAAAAGAAACACATTACCATCTACAGGCGTGCGCCCACAGGGAGAGCCTGGATCTGTGACAAACAAAGCTATAATAGCTACAATTGAGTGGGGACTGGAGCTGGGATTATGTGGAGAACTCATTTTAAACTCTGGAAAAACATGCAAAATCAGCAGAATATTTTAAAGTACATTTTATCAAACCACGTGGAAACTGTTTACTGCTTGCAGCTTTGGGGTGCTTTTAACTCAAAAGAGATGAAGCTGTGTGGAAAGTTCAAGTCAATACATCCCTGCAAACTAGGTTGTAATTGGTTTGCTTCCAGCCCTGCTGTAGTCACAACAGATCTCCTTGGAGGTTAGCAGTATAAAGCCAGTGTAATGTAATTTTCAGTGCCTGTTACTTATCAAAATTGTGTTGCAAGCATTTTAACAGTAAAGTTCTGACAAATTATATAAAACCATTCCATTGGAAAACATCTACAAAATACCCACTTTGGGAAAATGGATCATTACTCCCCCCAAATACTAACAGGTTTTAACAAATAGCACCAAATAGCACCCACCATTCAGAATCTGACTGCCCACTGCATTGCCCCTTGTGTGGTTCAAAATATGGCCTGTGTAAAGGGTCTTTGAGACGGGTTCATGTTGATAGGATAACATTTTTTACACCCTTTCCACAGGAATAAAGGAGGGAGAATGGGAAAATCGGGCAAAAGTTTTGCTGAGCTCACTCAAGTGCAAAAAAACGGCACACTTATCTCATAGGTAAGTATCTCATATGTAATGTAAACTCCTACTGCAGACTGTAATTTTTATCTCCCTCTAGTTAGTTGAGGTAAATCACAGGTCAGAGGTGTTTAGCCTCAACTAACTAAAAGAGATAAAAGATCTGTGGAATCAGCTAAGACAAGGTACAAAAGAATGTAACATATTTTACAATGAATACATAGCTTTAGTCTCAAATAGTAGCAGGCAAAAGCAATCTTTGTGGGATTAAAACATTTGGAAAGTATTCAAGATTGCAGAGAACTGTTTAAATCATGAAGGATTGTTTGCACATCCTAGCCGACATGCATAGAGCACAAGTAACAAGCAGCATATGTTCTAACAGCCTAAATTGTTACAGCGCCTTGGATTTTCAATGCAAATTCCTGTCTGATGTTTAAACTGGAAAGCAACAAGTTTTGTAATGGAAATAGCAAGCTGGCTGTCACTTATTCAGAGAATAGAAAAGAATAGCTTAGTACAGTACCTGCAAGTTGACAAGCATCCAAAATACGACTTTGGTTGCTGACTGTGTCCTTGCCTGGAAAAGTCACTTCCAACAGCTGGGAATCTTGGAAGAGCAGGTCTTAACCTGTAAGATATAAGCTTTCCCACTCCAGCTTGTTTTGCTATGGTCCATGGGTATTTTTCAAAGCCTGGCAAGTGAGTGAAAGTACTCTTGATCCTTGAAACTTGGTGTATGAAATGAAAACACTGGATTTCCCATAATCACTCCAAGAACTTTCACTTTCATTCTGAGAGCTAGCATTTACCTAATTAAATAGGAACTCTTACTATACTTTGGTGCTGGATACAGATGGAGGAATCAGTGCAAAGGTCAAGAAAAGGCAAGGCTATTCCAGTGGCTGTCAAGTTGTGGGAAGGACACAATTGTGGCACGAAAGGGGAAACTATTCAGTTTCTTAATTAAACACATTCATCTGTGTTTGTAGAGCTGGTTCTTAAATGGGTGCTTGGCTGATGATGCCATAAGCACCATTGGAATTGCTGCTAGCAAGGGATGTGAAGAGGAACAAAGAAGGTTTCTACAGGCATGTTAGCAATAAGAGGGTGATCAGGGAGATTGTGGGGCCCTTACTGGATAAGGGCAGTAACCTAGTGACAGATGATGTGGGAAAAGCTGAAGTACTCAATGCAGTGTAGAGCGTTGTGCTGCAATGTTCTTTTGAGGGAGGGTATGCAGGTCCATGGGTTTGAGCAAGGACTCCTGGGTTTCACTCCTTGTTGCTTCACACTCTATCATGTGGCTTTTGAGTGCTTCAGTTTACCCATCTCTAAAATGGTTCTCCTGGAAGGCTTTATTAGCCAATGAGCTCAAATAAGCGCTCCTTACTCGGGTGCATTCCCAGAGACCCAGCAGAATCATCCTCAGTATTTGCACCATGTTTTGAGATCCCTGTTATTAACTGCTACAGATCTCAGTGACCGAGAGGGGCATGAATCAGTGTCTGGAAAGACAAACAACAAACCAGCGTAGGCTCAGGTACAGCCAGCAGTGTTTCTGGCAGTGCTTTAGGCTGCCAGCATGTGGTTTGAAGCAAAAAGTTTCCTATGGGCCTCTGCTGTGCCCCAAACCAACTAAGCTGTCCAAAGCTGCATGCAGAGATTGGATTCTTGCAGAGGATAAACTCCAAACACGTCGCCCTGCTCATGATCCAGCTGTTTGCACTGCCACGCTTGGACACAGCGAGAGACTTAATCCCAGCAAGCCATTTCTGTGATTTAATCTGTTTCAAGGTACGTCTACATTATCAAGTTTTGTCAACAAAACTCATGTCGACTCCCATAGGTCGACAAAAGAGAAATTGCTGGAGGGTGTTCACACTTGCTCCCTCTGTCAACACTAGAGAGCACCATCCTTGACAGTGTGAGCAGTGCATTGTGGGTATGCATCCCACAGTGTTGTCAGAAGGCAGAGCTGATCCCTGCATATCTTGGGATTCCCCCTCAGTTCTCCCACAGCCTCTTCAGCTGCCAGGAGTGGCACCATGAGTAGCTCTGTGCACTCTCCATGCTCCACACGCGTCTGTTCCCCATCCCTGCAGTAGCAGTCTGCCTGCTGCCGTGTTCCTTGGGCCAGTTTCAGGGCCAGGACCCAGGCTTGCCCCCCACACCTCATTTAAACATGGCTTGTTTGCCATTTTTGCCTCCAGGAGTAGGGTCCTTTTCCTCCAACTTCTTGTGCTTCTACAGCTTGACTTGTGTTTTCTGCCCATTCTGCTGTTCAGCTCGTGTGTGTCAAGGGTTTCTCCTAAGTACACAAAATGAAACTTGGGACTGGGAGTTAATCCTGCTTCCTTAATCACTTCCTTTGCATCTGATCAGGGTCAGTGGAA